ATAATAACCTACACTCTCTTTGGCAGATATTTTTATATTCTCTCTAATAGTTTCCCAAGCTTTATTAACATTCACCTCAGTTTCCAAGTTTTCCAAAGCCGTGAACCTATTTGAGATTTCGACACGATACTGCTCTTTACCCTCTGCCTCATTTAATTTCTTGAGATTGAACCTCTTCATATGAACTCTGTGTGTTGTGTGTTTGCTCACTGCCAGTCTTGCCCTTACCTTTGCCACTACCAGGTAGTGGTCAGTATCGCAATCTACTGCCCTGAATGTTCGGAAATCAGGTATACTTGTCTGTCGTCTCCTATCTATCAAAATATGGTCTATTTGATTGTGTATCTTCCCATCAGGAGATGTCCAAGTAAATTTATGGATGTTACGGTGTGGGAACATTATACCTTTGACAGAACGATTTTTGATGTGGCAAAGTTTACAACTCTAACTGCATTATCATTCCTAATTTCGTGCAAACTTTCATTCCCAATTGTTGGTTTGAAAATGTCTTCACTCCCTACTTTGGCATTGAAATCTCCTAACAAAATTTTCATAGGGTACTTCGGGAATTTATCAAATACATGTTCTAGTTCTTCATAGAATCTATCCTTTATGTCATCAATCTTATTTTCTGTTAGGGCATGAACATTCAGAGCGATGATACCGTACCAGCGACCTTTTAGTATTATATATGATATCCTATCACTAACGAACTCTACCCTCTTAACTGCTAATACGATACTCTTATGTACAAAAAAACCTCTACTTAATTAATGATTTTCATTCCCCTTTCCATAGAAAAATGTAATGGCTCCTGCTGGTGCGTTGCCACCTCCATCCCATCTGACCTCCTGTACTCCCGCTATATCTGACTTATATTTTAAGATTTCTTCTGCCACTGCCCTGAGCTAACCAGCCCTATACAAACTTATAACATTCCAAGTGCCAAATCTCATATCCATTTTCATTAGCTTAGGTCGTTTATCCAAGGAATCCATCCAGGTCTGAGGCTGTGTGTTCATTTTCGTAACATAGTCATTTTTTATGGTGAGGAGTTGTTAGCCCCACGCTCAACCCCCAAGCTGGAAGGCCACCCCTTGTCGGCTGTCCGCGACTGCTTGTTCAATATATTCACAGCTTCCCTCCAAAACTGGAGGGTGTCTCCTCCATCCGCAACCTGAGGACCCGCCATGCCGTGGTGACAGGGACCACCACCACCACTACTATCATTATTCACTCTGTGCCAGCCTGTTGATTTAGTGCACAGATAAATACAGAATTGAACTGAATTATTGCTATTGTTGTTCATAGTGTCATTATCATCTCTGTCATCCTTGTTCCTCTCATCCTTCTCTTCAGTAAACCCTGAATCAACCAAGAAGAATCTGTTTCACTTTTGAGATACTGAAATTTTTCTTTTTCATTTGATAGTTGGTGTTGTTATTTTCATAGTAGTAACTTCAAAACCGGACACCCTGAATAAGGCAGTCCCTGGAATTGCTTCAAATACTGGCAAGCATTACGCTGATCAGTGTGAATATGGCTGTGTTGCAGAGGAATGCGGAGTGACCTAAACAAGGAACATGAAGGTTTTGACTGCAGTCATGTATCCCTTGGAGCTGTTCCTAAGAATTCAGCAAATGCATTCAAGAGCTGTCCTTCAAAACCTGAGAATGCAAAACCCTTCAAAGTTTCAGATCGTCCAGAAAGCTTGGTAATGAAATAATAAAAATGTATAGCATGGTAGATATACACTAACATTTTGGAGGAACCTACTGTCTCCATCTTCACGGTAGAAGAGTTCTACACTGTTTTATAACCCAAAAGACAGTAACCTTCATATTCATTGCTGCAAGAACCTCAGATCTCACAGAAACCATTTATTATCCTATTTGTCTCAGAGTTACTTTTTTTAGACATTTTTGGACATGCAGTAGGGCTTGCTGTACAATGGCTTAGCCAATGTCCACATTGTCTGTGCTATTACATGCCTGACCTTTTGTCTTTTTCTGTACAAAATCAACATTACCTACAGTGCATTTACATATTCTGATTTTGGCTCCAGTGCGCATGTACTCATAGAAGTCTAAAGCATGAGCAAGTTAATCAGAGAGCTTCAGTGAACAGACAACCTTTATCACTTTTCCACAGAAACTTATTGCTAGCCTCTACCTCTGCCATCAATAGCCAGAAGGTCTATAGCTTCTCTGTATATATCTAGAATACCATGTGCTTTTGTATGATTAAGTCAATAATCAAGACAGTTTCTACATTCAGATCAGGTCTATAATAGGATGTGCTGAAGACAGTATTTTCTTGTATAATGTGATTATGACAGATACAACATTGGTATAAGATCTGATGGAAATATCCTGCTTTTACAGTGTCATATTAAACAACAGTATACAAAACAGTGGAAAAGTTTCATACATTTATTTATTTGGTGGACAAAAAGAAAACATGAAAATGTGTTTTGACCGAAAAATACTGATTCCTGATTAAAAATACAAGTATTTACACAATTCACTGTTAACATGACATACCTGATCCTAGCCTAAGTAAACCTATATTTAATTAAAATTTTTCTCGTGCACTGATTTGTGAATAAAGTTATGAACTGGAAAATTTTCCAGGGTAGTACTTTTCTTCTTTCAGTCTCTGTTGGTTAATTTGTTAGACCATTGATTAGTTTGTAACTCACAGATAATACACTACTGAACATGCTACAATAGATTATTTTTGTTTCAGGATTCTACAAATGCAAATGATTTCTCTTCATTGGACCTTGGCAGATCTATGTTTGCCTCAGAAGATCATACACAGATTCTCATGCAAGCAGATAATCTCCTTAAAACCACAAAACATCAATTGCTTGATCTGCAGATGACTATGTCATTTGAAGGAAAACAATTTAGAGTTGAAAATAGATTATCTGAATTGTCACTTTCCAGGTTAGTTGACTCACATTACAATGTTCCTTTGTGTATATATATATATATAT